AACTAAGAGTTTTGTGTGTGTGTTGGTGTGAGTGTGGTCAGTGGATAACGCTCTGCTGTATCCGTTTTCACCTTGCGTGCACTCAGGTACTCTTCAGCGGCTTCCTGGAAGATGATGAGTCCTTCGACTGGACCATCAAAGCAAGAATACCACCCTGGCCAACACCACGAATTAGCAATCAAGCCCTTCGAGGGTTCTTGCACAGGAAGCTCACCACCCTATTCCTCAATCAAGACTTCTTTGAGGAATTCTGACAATATGCCGATTGGGTGGAAAGAGAAGCAGAGTGGCAGCGCAATGCCGAGACTGAGGGAGTATGGGACCTATCTGCTTGAGGAGTCTTATGCTGGAAAGACTCCGATGATCCCCAGAGCCTATATTGGCCTGAGGGAGGAAGGAGAAATAGAAGAGGAGGGAGGTATCCCCTCCACAAATAATTGGTGGACCCGGCTGGTGGATGAGGAGTGGGAAGACTGGAGGAGCAGGGAGGAGAGACATTCAAGGAGTCGGCAATACCCTCAGCCGATCCTCAGTGATAATGAGATGCCACTAGTGCCAAGGTTACCTCTGGTACTCCCTGAGGACGAATACCTGCCATTTCTGGTAAGCACTCCACCACTCTGGAGAAGAAGCCCTTCTGGAAACAGTATGGCATCCTGGCTTTCCGAAGAAAAGCCAAAATATCTGAACCTCTGGGGGGTTCCAGGCTTCCCACCTCGACCATTGGGAGGACAGCTGCCTGCTGATGAAGCAAGTGGATCGGAACCTGCCGATGAAAAGAAGAATGACCCTGAGGCAGTAGCACAGGGGTGGACCCTCAAAGATGGCCAGATCGTCAAGAAGAAGGGACTGCTGATGCCAAGAAGTCCCATCGCCGATGATGGCTCCCTGCATTCCTTTCCAGGACCCCTGATGGATTGGGCAGGCCCCTCTGGAGGGGAACCCCCAAATCCGATGTCGCCTCTCGATCCGAAGGCACATATATTAAACGTCAAACCAACACTCGGCAGGGAGCCTCTCCCTTTCAAAGGGGCATCAGATGATATTGACCACTTTCTTATGGATTGCGACCAATATTTCCAGGTTTTCACCTCGTACTTCCTTCACGACATGTACAAGGTGAACTATGCCACCACCTACTTTGAAGAGAAGGCCAAGGTATGGTGGGTACTACTGGCACCGAACTTCTGGTCAATGACTCAGCAACATCACTGATATCCTGCCTGGGCGGTACTTAAACAGATGATCCATGACAAGTTCACGGATCTGGTGGTCTGAGAAGTCCACAAGTTGAAGATGAAGGAATACAAGATGGGCGGCATGGCAGCACCTGATTACTTTGATGAATTGGAGCGACTTGGGAAGTTGGCTGGAATTCGGGAGGATGTCGCCAACTCGGGATGCATGGTCGAGTACATGAAATGGGGAGTACTGCCCTATTACCTCAAGACCATCTTGGATCTTGGACACAGTGTGCCCATCGGCTATGATGACTGGAAGGCCCGAATCACTTTAATGTGGCAAGAATGACAACGGCAGAAGGCAGAAGCGATGAACCTGTGGGAGCAACACAGGTACCAGAGACAGGGCTTGAAGCCCTCCACCTCCTATGTGACCACGTCTGCCAGGCCCAGCGGCTCAGCCCAAACTTCTCAGAACGATGGGAAGCGAACTAGCAAGGGCCCAAGTACCAGAAAGGGTAAGCAAATTGATGTGGATGGCCTCAAGAAGGAGGGGAGGTGTTTCAATTGTGGCCAGCTGGGCCACATGGCATGAAACTGCCCTGAGAAGAAGAATAAATGCACACACAAGGATATCAGGGCACTGATTGCTGAGTTGACGAAGGAAGCCGAAGACCTTGGGAATGACAACAAACCCAAGGAGGAAAAAGACAGGGCCGAGCAGTAGGCGATTCAACTGCCTCAGCTGAAGTAACAAGTAACAGGTCACAATCTGCTGGACAGACTAACATTTTATCTTCTATAGTATCACCACCTAGGTCTAAATTATGCATGCATTCAAATATACCCGACCCCGTTACTCAGAAACCAGAATCGCCCAAGGAATCGACTTTTACAACTCAACTGCTGATGAAGGGCTGAAGAAGGACAGAGAGCCCTAACAAAGGTACATCATCACTAGGAATCCATCAAGCTAAAAATATAAAACAGACTCAATTGCCTGCAGGCCAAACAGGGGCAGCGAGCCCCACAGCCTGGCTCAAGCCATTCGATACTGAATGGACTTGGCGGGCAATCAAGGATGCCAAAAATGAAGCAGCGGCAAAGGCTGTACTCAAAAATTGGGTACATAAGATCCGCGTCGAGGAGGTGATCGATGACATGATCACAGGAATACAAGAAGCAGAAAGGTGCCAGGCCTTGGAATGGCTCGACGAATTACATGGACAACGAAAGTTTATTCGACGAACCAAATCCTCTGGACAAGATCTGGTAACCAAGGCACAGATCGAGACATTAACGTCTCGATCTACCCATGCAGTCACTGCCCTGATCGACAGTGGCTGCACGGGAAGCTCCATCAATCGAGCTTTTGTCACCAAGCACCAATTATCCACATGGCTAACAGCGGACCCAATACCTGTCTATAATGCAGATGGAACAAAGAACCAAGCAGGATCAATCACTGAGTATGTAGAGCTTAAGCTCACTATCGGAGATCACTCGGAACGAATTGACCTAGCAGTAACAGATCTAGGGACCAGGGAAGTGTTCCTCAGTCATGATTGGCTAATCAGACACAACCCACTAATCAATTGGAAAACCGGACGAATCATCTTCGCCTGGTGCCATTGCCAAAAAATTCCTTTCGAACTCCCAGACAAAGACTCAGAGGACCGATGGGATGAAGAAATGGAAGATGGAGAAACTATTCTCACCATAGACTTTCAAAAGGCCATTAACATTCGTGCAATGCACCATGCTAATGACCTCACGATAAAAGCCAATGCCGAAAAAGGGGAAAGGACATTCGAGGAATTGGTACCTGAATGGGTACGTGACTACCAGGATTTATTCAAAAAAGAAAATTTCGATGAACTACCTGATGCAAAACCATGAGACCATGCCATCGAATTAATCCCTAATGCAAACGCCAACCTAGATTGCAAATGCTATCCACTAGGCAATAACGAATAACAAGAGCTGGACAAATTCCTCGAAGAAAACTTATCTAGTGGACGAATCTGACCATCGAAATCACCGATGGCATCACCATTCTTCTTTGTCAAAAAGAAGGATGGGAAGCTCCGACCAGTACAAGATTACCGAAAACTTAATGAGATGATGATCAAAAATCGTTATCCACTTCCATTAATCTCAGAGTTGATGGACAAACTCTGTGGCACAAAATACTACACCAAACTAGACGTTCGGTGGGGATACAATAATGTGCGCATCAAAGAAGGCGACAAGTGGAAAGCTGCCTTTCAGACAAACCGTGGTTTATTCGAGCCAACAGTAATGTTCTTTGGC